TCGTGTTTGTGTTGGTTTTCTATGTGTAGGGCATTTTAAGTATCTTTTGTAGGGCAGATTGGGTGCAGACATATTGTTTCAACTTTTGTTTGCTATGGAAGGTTTTGATTTGTCCTTCTGTTATGGAGGAGAGTTTAGCTGGGCACAGTATTCTTGGTTGATAGTTGTCTTTAGTGCATGGCATACATCATTCCAGGCTCTTCTTTCATTGTCTCTGCTGAGAAGGCTGAAGTTATTCTGATAGGTTTCACTTTATCTTTTCTTCCTGACAGCTTTAAGGATCCTTTCCTTGGTCTCATTTGATCCTGTGCGACTTACAATGTGATTGTGGGATGTCCTGTTCTGGTCTGGTCTATTTGGGGTTCCAAAAGCTTCTTGTATCTGAATGGGCCTATCTTTTTGAGAGTTTCAGAAGTTCTTAGACCTTTAACTTCTGTCTCTAGGTCCCCTCACACCCATTAGCCTTAAATTAGGCCTTCTGACGGTGTCTTCTAAATATTGAAGCTATCATATTTCCTGGATTTGTCTTGAATACTTGTCTGTTCTTCCTCTATAAGGACTAGGCTGTCTTCAATCCCAGAGATTTGATCTTCTACATGGTCTAACCTACTGTCAAGACTTTCTACTTTGGTTTTTATTTCCTTTCCATCCTTATTGCTCAGATTTGATTGCTTCAAATTCTTTGTTGGAGCTCTGTTTTAGATCTTGTAAGCACTTCTTTTCCTCCTTGATTTGGTTTTCAGTGTTCATTCTCAAATCCCTTAGTTGATTGATTATAGTTTCATTGGACTCCCTTTCCTTCAGTTGGGCTTCATTCAGCATTCCCTTTGTGGCCTCCATGGATTCCTCCAGCTTTCTGTTTATGGATTCCATGAATGCCTCCATTAATCTTTTTTTTAAATTCTCACCCCGCTAGGGCTATTCCTGTATTAATTTTTGATTGGCTCCCAAAATTTCTGTATTAATCTTTGGTTAGTCTCATCACACTTGTGAAGTACCTGTATTAATCTTTGGTTAACCTCATCACGCTCACATGTTTCCCTATCATGCTCACACAAGGATTTTGCAACCTCTCAATCTTTTAATTCAGCATGTTTAGCAGTAGTGTTTGTAGAGCATTTTAGGGACTCTCCCCCTGGATTATTCATTAACTGCTCTGTTGCCTGATTACCATGAGTGGAAGCTGAGATTCCTGGACTTGCCATTTTTCTTGTGTTTCTGCTTGTTCTGCCCATTTGTATATGATAGCCAAAAACAATTCTGAGCTAGAACACTATTTTGAGGCAAGCATCAACCAGAGGCCTGTAGTTGCACAGATTGTTTGACACAGTCAAAATGAGTACAGATACAATCTCATTCAACAGATACAATCTAGTTCAACAGCAAATAACTATGGATCATTGAACTAAGAAAATCAAAGGAGTCAGTGGACCACAAATTAATAGGTTTAGGGAGAATTATGAAGAGAAATAAGATTAGAGGAATGTGGGGAGGGAAAAGTAGAGAGGGAAGATAACTAAGACCTAAATTCAGAGAGAGGTAAAGGATAGAAGGAAAGAAGAAGAGAGATAAAGAAAAAAGGAAAAATGAGAAAAAGTCTAGACATGAAACAAAAATTATGGAAAAGCTGGGCACCAGTGGCTCACGCCTGTAGTCCTAACTACTCAGAAGGCTGAGATCTGAGGAACATGGTTCATAATGAGCCTGGGCAGGAAAATCCATGAGACACCTATCTCCAATAAATGATCAAAAAGCCGGAAGGGGCACTAGAGCAGTAGAGCAGTCCCCTTGAACTGAAGAGCTTAGGGACAGCGCCCAAGCTGAGTTCAAGCCCCACAATTGACAAGAAAAAAATTCTATAAGTATAAAGAAATAATACTACAATTAAAGGAGTTAAGGCTGAGAGTTTGTGAATTGAGTAATCAAAATCTGAATTAAGTATGCACACAATGAAGGATAAGGTCTAGAACAGCAATTAAGTGACACAAAAAACAAAATATTAAAACCAAAAAGGGAGGGGGGGACCAAGATGATGATAGGACAGTAAGGAAATGCCACAGCTCTCGCCAACCAAAAAGAGTTCGAGTTTCAATGCTTAATTTCCCCAAGAGACCAACAACAACAAAAAGATGAACACCCAGAGAAAACAGGAGGTGGAAAAAAACAAAAAAAGAATGAAAGAAAAGGAAGAATTTCAGAACAGAGAAGCGCGAAGACCCCTCCCCCAACCTTTACTGGCTGTACGGCAACGTGCCAAGCCATGGCCAGCCCGGCCCGGAGGGGGCTGCCGGAGTCCCCAGAGACACATGGGTTCATCTGCAGATCACCTGCGCAGAAGATGGCTGAGGTACCAGTGTCGGACCCACTGATCCCGACAGAGAAACCTCCGAGCCGGGAGCCCCACCCCTCACTCTCCAAGCAGAGGGGCTCCCTCCCACCAAAGACACTCGGCCCCATGATGGGAATCTAAGAACTACACAGATGGCCCACAGAACACCAGAGCGGAAAACCTGCAAGGTACTGGTGCTGATCCAGAGAGCGCAAACAGAAACAAACCCCAGTGATCAGAACCTGCAAAGAGATGCCTCCCCCACACCTCCACCAGAGGCCTGTGGCTGGAGGCCCATCCTGCAGCACCTACCCAAACAGCATCAACAGAAGCAGAGACAAAGGAGAAACATGCAGTGCCACCACCACCCGGTCCAGCTCACAAGCATCTCAGCTGAACTCTGATTGCAGTGGCAAACAGTGACCGCCATCCCACAGAAACAAACTAGCTCCAGGGTGAGAACCTGGCAGGGGACAGCATATCTTTCAAGGGAGACCAGAGCAGGTGGGAACCCCCAAGCCTTGAACCAGACCCTACCCCAACACCTGGACTACAGAACCCACTAAAACTGGGAACTGTTTGAGAGCTCCACCAGCCCATGGAGCACATCCAGCTGGCCAGGCTAGATCACAAGCAGATCCCTGCTTAAACACCCAAGCCAGGAACAGTGCCCGCGGGTCACATCCTCCAACAGTGGAAGAAACATGAACTGTGTACTCCAGGCTGTGTAACCCAGGTGGGATACACAGCAGCACAGGTCCAATTGGAGTACCACAGGCCAGGGACTGGGAGCAAAGACAAGGCCTGGGGATTTGGTGACTGAGCAACACAACCAACTCTTGCTGATTGAAATCAGAAACTGAGCATACACCTCAAGCAGAGGGGGGAAAACAGGGAATTGCACCCCTGGGAATCATGCCCATAACAGCAAAAGACCTGGGTGTCCAGGGCAAGAGAACCAGAAGCCCAAACCCCACCAGAATTCGATCAATATATCCCAGGCCTGAAATTGGACAACTCAGGCTGTCAGCACCTGATAATAGTCAGAAGCTCAGGCTGGTAAGGTGGATCAGTGGTAGAGTGCTTGCCTTGTATGCATGAGGCCCTGGATCTGATATCTCAGCACCACATAAGCATAAAGGGCCAGAAGTAGTGCTATGGCTCAAATGGTAGGGCGCCTGCCTTAAGCTAAATAGCTGAGGTACAGCACCCAGTCCCAGAGTACAGGCCCAAAACTGGCCCCCCCCAAAAAAATCAGGAGCCCAAAGCAGACTCCAGCAACTGGGAGAGTACATCCAGCACACCTGATCTAGCCAAGAGCATTTGTAGGAGTAAATAGGAGCAGTCTAGTCTTCTCAGTCCTTCTAAAGGCAGGAACTGCCAGTGATCAACAGCAGAGAGTTGAGAGCCCTATATGGGTCAGACCAGCAGCTGGAGGTCCAAGACCAGGTACAGACTTCCTCCACCAACCCAGAAACAGCAACCAAGCAAAAACAAGACAACTATTGACCAAACAAAATTTCAGATCAGTCTCCAATAAGCCCTGAATCCCCATGCAAAAATCATAGAGAAAAAAATTACAAAGTTTATCAATACCCAGGATAGCAAGCTACCCCCAAAAGCCATCAGCCACCCAGGGGAGAGCCTCAGTGGGAGCAAAGCAGGAATGGAAGACAAAGCCTACATGCAAGAGATGCTAGAGGCAATGACTCAAGAATTAAAGCAAGAAATAGACCAGAACTTCAAAGAACACAGGGATGAACTATCGAAAGAGATGCAGGGTCTCAAATAGGAAGTGCATACAAAAAATAGAGGCAATACACACTACAATCTCACTAAAAGGTGAGATTAGTACCAACATCGAATCCATAAATGAGTACATTTCCTCCATGCAAACCACAATGGAAACCATACTTAACAGAGTGATCGAAATGGAATGTAAAGTGTCAGATACAGAAGACAGAATACACCAACTGGGCCAAAAAAAATCACAGATATGGAAAAAATCACTTAAATTATGCCAAAGGGAAATCCAAGAGCAAGCAGATAATGCCAAGAAATATTGCCTAAACAAGAAAACTAAAGTACTTTAGTGGTGGGACTAAGAAGAAATGAAAATATTGAAAAGAACTAAGGGTAATCCCCACTCCTCACTAGATATGGTGTGTGAGGTGTCCAGATCATCAGTATGCCAACCCAGAGAGGAACAACTGCATGCTAAAAAGCTGACAGCTTTCTGGCTTATGAAGATCCCTTGGGAATGGTTTGGGCCTGCATGGCTCTCTGCTTCTTTGTATCCACAACTGTTGTTCTTGGGGTTTTCCAGAAGAATCAAGACACTCCCATTATAAAGGCCAATAATAGAACCCTAAGCTACATATTTCTCATCTCCCCAAAATGCTGTTTTCCTTGCCCCTTACTATTCATTGGACATCCCAACACAGCCACATGCATCTTCCAGCAGAGTACACTTATAGTGGTGTTCACCGTGACTGTTTCCACTGCCTTGGCTAAAACTATTACTGTGGTTCTGGCCTTCAGTCACGTCTTCAAAGAACAAGCTACACCAGTTATTTGTGTCAGGTACACCGAACTTGATCATCCCCATCTGTACACTAACTGATTCTCTGTAGGATATGACTGGGAACTTCTCCTCCCTTCATTGACACAGGTACACATTCTGAACATGACCACATCATCATCCTGTACAACAAGGGCCCCCTCACTGCTTTCTACCAGGTCCTGGGCTCCCTGGGCTCCCTGACCCTGAGAAGCCTCACTGTGGCTAGTTTGGCCAGGGACCTGCCTGACACCTTCAATGAGGCCAAGTTCCTGACCTTCAGTATGTTGGTGTTCTGTAGTGTCTGGGTCACCTTTCAGCCTGCCTACCATAGCACCAAGGGGAAAACCATGGTAGCTGTGGAGCTCTCCACCTTGGCCTCCAGTGCTGGGCTTATAGGCTGCATCTTTGCCCCTAAGTGTGACATCTTAATAAGGTCTGATAAAAAATGTCATTGTGATTTCAGGGCTAAAAACCATTCCAAGGGAATTCAGCTTTGTTAAGTGAAAACATAACTATTTTCCCAAATGCATAGAGGATCTGAGTAAAATCTGAACTATTTTCTCATCAGACCTTAATGTGAATTTCAGGTATGATTTCAATATATAAATGATTCATAGTCATTTCCCCAGTTCTCTGTGATAGACACTACAGTTGCCTCATGGCATCTAAATTTAAATTTTATTCTAAGTATATTCTCTATTTTTTCTAACTTAGATGGATTTCATCATCTCATTTCTCCTTTTAGAAATTACTGTTCCTTAACCTTTCCATCTGCTTTTAAAGTTACATTTTCACAAGATTAAATATCCATTTTGAATCATTTTTATTTTAAAGATGATGTACAGAGGGGTTACAATTATATAAATCAGGTAATATGTACATTTGTTTTTGAATACTGTCACCTCTTCCCTTGTTTTTGCTCAATTTTTTATCTATCACTTCCCTCCCCCACAAATTGAATATAGTTCATATTTAACATAATGTCTAAGAAGTATCATTGCTGAGTTAGTTCACTCTTTGTCCTACCACTTCTGTTCTTCCCTTATCCTCCTGAAATCAGATAGATTTGCATACAAGACAAAGGAACAGAAATCAAAAACAGTAACAAATGGGAAAAAACACAAAAAGCACGCTATAAAACCCTTTGTTGTTGGCTATGCAGGAGTAGAAAACTGAAGATAGATCCTTATATAGTATCCTGTACCAGAACAATTCCAAATTGATCAAAGGCCTCAAGGTAAAAGCAGATACTCTGAAAATATTACATGAAGGAATAGAGGATACTCTAGGTCTCCTTGTCACAGGTCAAACTTTCTTAATAAAGGCCCAGAAATACAACAAATCAAAGAAACATTGGATAAACAGAATCACATTAAACAGCAGAGCTTCTGCATGGGAAAGGACATAGCTAGCAAGATCAACAGAAAGCCCACAGATTGGGAGAAGATTTTCACTAGCCACACAACAGACAAGGGCCTCATATCTAAAACATATTTAGGACTCAAAAAATTAAATCTCCCAAAAAGCAAGTCCTCAAAAAACAAGCGCCCCATTAATAAGTGGGCTAAAGACTTAAAGAGAGACTTCTCTGAAGAGGAAATAAGAATGGCCAATACACACATGAAATGCTCAACTTCTCTGGCCATAAAAGAAATGCAAACCAAAACAACACTGAGATTCCATTTAACCCCAGTTAGAATGGTTATAATCAAGAACTCTAATAACAACAGATGCTGGAGGGGATGTGGACAGACGGGAACCCTACTACATTGTTGGTGGGAATGTGAACTTGTTCAACTGCTCTGGAAAGCAGTATGGAGGTTCCTCAAAAGACTCCACATAGAGCTCCCCAATGACCCAGAAATCTCACTTCTGGGCATTTACCCAAATGACCACAAACAAGGCCACACTAAACCTACCAGCACAACGATGTTTATCCCAGCATTATTCACCATAGCTAAGATATGGAACCAACCCAGATAACCCTCAGTAGATGAATGGATCAAGAAAATGTGATATATATATATATATATATATATATATATATATAGTGG